TAAAATTTTTTAAAATGAAAACACCAGTTTGCATAAATAATAATTATTACCATGCCCTCGATGTGCTATAAATTATGATAGCGTAAAATTACAGTTGCGGCATGTTATTTAGTTGCGCATATGACTTTTCATAACAACAACCAATCTGAGTACTTAACTCATAAAACAGTTTAAACGATGTGCGAAGCAAAAGGACTAACACACAAATCAAGGGAAATGTCAGACATTGCTCACCGCACTGTTTCTTGCGTTCCACGAATACAGATCTGGCGATCGTGTTGGTCGCGCCGTACAGCTGATTGTTTTTCTACTTCGATTGAAGCACCAGTTGCTTCACGTATCGCATTGATGTTTGCACCACCTCGACCTATTACTCTTGCAATAACACTGCTGCAAACACTCAGAGTCGCAGAGCGGCGTCGAGACTGAAAAGAAAAACAAGGAGGAAAGTGACGCCATGTCTATACACCAAAAATCAACTGAAAGACAACATCAGAAAGATACCAGTTCAACATCTTTCCAACCACTATAGTTATCATCCAAGTAAAAATCTTTGCCGGTAGTAGAAATCAACGTGCTTGAAGTCTTTGCCTTATTTGCCTTAACAAAGAACGAATATATTAATCTACCGAAAAAAACATTCCCACAATTACCGCTTTAGATTTTTTGCTAGCCTTCACCCATTCGTCATTGGAAACGTTAGATTTGGAAGAGAGAAGAACAGGCGAAACAGTTACTTTAGAAGAGATCGCAGCATTCAGCACTGATATCGCAGTTTGACCATTTGTACCTTAAGAAAAGTCCGTATAAAGATTCAATGTATGATGTGAAGATAGAGGTGATGGCTAGACCTACTTTTTCCGCTTTCGTTGCGACTGCGACGGTTCGCTGAACGCTTCTGTTGTCTGTTTAATGGCGCACTTGGTCGTTCTGGAGTAACTGTGATGAGTAAAGGCTCTTCCACTGCGCGCATTTTCGGCACGCGATCATGCACCTAAAACAGTTGAAAACATCATCAACAACATTCAAAAGTTCATGCAAACGGTTCAAAGAAAAACAATTCAAAACTCTTGCTTTACCTCAACTGCATGAACTAAACTACTACAATTAAAAGCGTATTGAGAATTGTCGTCGCTTTGCTATTAATACGCTCAGATAGTATGTACCAGTTTACGAAGCCATCACGAAGTATCGCTGCAGGACCAAGCTATTTCTGGACGTCGTGAATTCAAAGAAGTGGCAACTAGTCTTAACCAAGTGCGTATACAACATAGTAAACAGCCAATACTGAGATGATGAAATTAGATACTCCTCATGATGTAGAAAGTAAAGTCCTCTCTGTCTTCACCACATTTTTTTGCAGAAAAATCGAAGTGTTCTTTTCCG